TATGGTGAGCCCCGAACCAGCAGCCAGGGACCCTGGCTTCATGGACGCCCCACCCTCGTCCTACAGCTGCGGCGCCGCTTCGGGGACGTGTACAGCCTGCAGCTGGCCTGGACGCCGGCGGTCGTGCTCAACGGGCTGGAGGCCGTGCGCGAGGCGCTGGTGAAGCACAACGAGGACACTGCCGACCGGCCGCCTTCGCCCTTTTATGAGCACCTAGGCTACAGGCCACACGCGGAAGGCAAGTGACCGTGGGGACTGTCGCGGCAGGAACGAATCCAGTGAGCAGGTCCCAGAGATCGCCCTGGGCGGCTCCTGACCGTGGACCAGGGACGCAGAGAAAGGCCAGCGGGTGGGTTTGGGGGCGGAGGGTGAGGGAACAGCCTGCGCGTGGGTGCGGGCCCTGTGGGCGCAGAGGGGCGGGACTTACCCAGAGGGGGCGGAGCCCCACGAGGCGCCTAGGAGACCGTGAGGCAGGGCGGACCGGAGTGGGGACTCACGGGGGCCACGTGGGGGCGTCGCACTCGGTGTGGGCGGGCGGGGCAGGTGCGGCCTCCCCGGGTGAAACCGTGGTCAGGGCGCGCAGGGCACAGCTGGGGCCGAGGCCTCCCCGACCAGGGGACAGAGAGCAGGCGACCAAAGTGGAGAAGCAAGAGCGAGACCCCGGGAGGCAGGGTCAGAGTGGGCGGGGCCACAGCCCCTCGGAGAGGAAGAGGGACAGTGGGCGGGGCAGAGTATTCGGGCCACGCCCACCCTCCCCTGCCCCGCCCCCAGGGGTCATCTTGGCGCGTTACGGGCCCGCGTGGCGCGAGCAGCGGCGCTTCTCCTTGTCCACTCTGCGCTTCTTCGGTCTGGGCAAGAAGTCGCTGGAGCTGTGGGTGATCGAGGAGGCCGCCTGCCTCTGTGCCGCCTTCGCCGAACACGCTGGTAAGTGACCGGGGCAGGGGCAGGGGACGACCCGGGAGGTGGGGCCGGGGCGGGAGAAGAGCAGCCTCCCTGACCCGCATGCCGCCCCAGCACAGCCCTTTAGCCCCAACGCGCTGCTGAACAAAGCGGTGGGCAACGTGATCGCGTCCCTCACCTACGGGCGCCGCTTCGAGTACGACGACCAGCGCTTCCTCAGGCTAATGGAATTGGTGGAAAAGCAACATCAGCCAGAATCTGGCTACCTGATGCAGGTGCAAGGGGCGACAGGTGGTGCGGGAGTTGTGCAGTGGAAGCTCCAGGCAGGTGCCTCCACCTGCAGCTGGGCCTCCATGGAGGAGGGTTGCACACAGAGGCCTGGGAAAGGGCATTCCTGGAGAGCCCGCTGCAAGAGGCAGGTGACAGAGCAGGTGGGAAATCTCAGACAAGGCTAATGGGAGAAGTCACCCAGACACAGCGGTACCCAAGAGAGGGCAATGGAGTCTGGCCTTCTGAGCACATTGGGAGCCAACAAGTCGGTGATATTTCCATCTTAGGGTTGTCCTTGTGTCAGCCCAGAGCCAGGAGACAGTGTGGAGATTCCCATTAGGGTAGTTCTGGGTGAATGGTGGGGACAGGCAGGTGGTGCGTCCACTCTGGAGACTGGTACAGGTGAATGCAAAGCACAGGAGGGATCCAAGCCCCGTTCTGTGACAGGTGGTGATGGCTCTCCCCGTGCTCCTGCGCATACCATGGGTTGCTGGCAAGGTCTTCTCTGCTCAGAGGGGTCTCTTGGCCAGGCTGGATGAGCTGGTGACCGAGCACAGGATGACCTGGGACCCAGCACAGCCACCCCGAGACCTGACTGACGCCTTCCTGGCCGAGGTGGAGAAGGTGAGGGCCACTGACAGAGACAAGGACAGGGGCTGCAGCTTGAAGGTTTCCCAAGGAGTGAGGCAAGGCCAGGCAGGATGGAGCTGGTGTACCACCCTAGCAGCAGGGCTGACAGGTGCAGCATGGAGGGTCATTTGGAGGCTACCTCCTGAGCCCACCCTCTCTGTCTGGTCAGGCCAAGGGGAACCCCAAAAGCAGCTTCAATGATGACAACCTGCGCCTGGTGGTGGCTGAGCTATTCTCCGCTGGCATGGTGACCTCCTCGACCACGCTGGTCTGGGCCCTGCTGCTCATGATCCTGCACCCGGATGTGCAG